CTCCCCAGCCCCCCCAGCCCCGCCAGCACAGGGGTGGCTCTGCCAGCCCCACCCTGCCAGCCCGTGGGTTTTGGGTTTCCCAATGTAGGAAGGACGCAAAGCCGTGCCAAACCCCCCCCGGGGGGGACAGACTCATCCTGCTTTGCCGGCACATCCACTGGGAATAAATCCGCCCGCCCTGCCGGCGGGACAGCAGAGGTGCTGGGTGTTCCCCTCGGTAAGGACGGATCCGGGCTCGGCGACTTCAGCCGCAAAGCCAGCCCGTGGGTTTTGGGTTTCCCAATGTAGGAAGGACGCAAAGCCGTGCCAAACCCCCCCCGGGGGGGACAGACTCATCCTGCTTTGCCGGCACATCCACTGGGAATAAATCCGCCCGCCCTGCCGGCGGGACAGCAGAGGTGCTGGGTGTTCCCCTCGGTAAGGACGGATCCGGGCTCGGCGACTTCAGCCGCAAACAGGGAGGAACTGGGCTGAGCTGGGATGAGGAGCTGCTCCCTTATCCCCACCGTGGGGGCTGTGATCAGTGTTAAGGGTGTGGAGCAGCCCAGGGTGCTGGTGGGGGCAACTGGGGCTGGCAGGTGGTGGGGACATCCCAGCAGAGAGCAGAGCTGGGTGATCCCAGGGACTGGCACTGGGGCTGCTGGGTGGATTCACGGTGGCAGGACGGGGTATCACTTCCCCTGGGACTGGTGAACCAGCAGTCAGGCCATGCCTGGCTGCTCTGGGCAGTGTCCATCACGACACACTGGATTCAGGAAGGACTGACATGGATTTTTTTCCTTCTCTCCCCAGTTTCCCCAGCCTGACTCCCACTGCTGCATCCCTGTGGCTCAGAGTCCCTCCCGGCAGGATGAGGACCCCGGTGCTGGCGCTGCTGCTGCTGCCCAGCACCCTGCTGTGCCCTGCCACTGCTGCACTGCGTGTTGGTGCCTTCAACATCAGGGCGTTCGGTGACACCAAGATGTCCAACAGGGAAGTGGCAGATGTCATCACCGGGGTGAGTGCTACAGGGGATGATGCCCTGTGTGCTGGGGTGGACCCAACGTGTCCCCCCTGTGCCAGGGGCGTGAGGGGATGTGCCCAGGACCACATCCTGGTGCTGGGATGCCCCGGGTGGATGAAGCACCGAGGTGGGGGGGTCAGGCAGGTGCTGCAGTCCCTCTGTGGGACCAGTCCTCACGGTCAGGGGGGCTTGTCTGGAAGGTGAGTGGGAGAGGAGAGGGTGTCCCAGCACCAGGCTCCCCCTCGCCATCACCCTCCCTCTTGCCCCCGCAGATCCTGAAACGCTACGACGTGGTGCTGGTGCAGGAGGTGCGGGACTCGGATCTCAGCGCTGTCACCGACCTGATGGAGCAGCTCAACAGGTGGGAGCGGGGCGGGGAAAGCCCAGCCCAGCCCAGCCCAGCCCA